TCATGCTACAATGGCAGAGATGAGCAGTGACAACAGAGACCTGGCCCTCTACAGAAAAGCTCACTGGCTCCTGTTTCAAACTGGGGCTGGCTTGTGGTACAGTGGATTAAGCCTTCACCTGAAATGCCAGCATCCCATGTTGGAGTGCCAATTCGAGTCCTCACGCTCTGCCTCTGATGCAGCTCCCTGCTAATGTGCCTGGGAAGACACGGATGATGGCCTACATACTGGGCCCCTGCCACTCACATAGGGGACCTGGATGTAGTTCCTGACTTCTGGTTTCCGACTGGCCTGGCCCCACCCATTGTAGCCATTTAGGGAGTGAACCAGCAGAGGGAAAATCTGTCTCTCCTGCTCTCTCTGTCACTCTACCTTTCAAAAATAAATAAATCATCTGAAAACATGATAATTTTAAAGACTTTCCTTACTTATTTATTTTCATTTAATTTGAAAGGCTGTGAGACAGAAAATGTGAGAAAGAGACAGAGTCAGAGAGGTCTTCCATCTGCTAGTTCACTTCCCAAATGGCTGTAACAGCCAAGGCTGGGCTGAGCTGGGCCAAAGCCAGGACCCAGGAACTCCACTCAGGTCTCCCACGTGGGTGGCAGGGACCCAAGTATTTGAGCCATTGTCTGCTGCATCCCAGGAAGTGCGTCAGCAGGAAGATGGGTCTGAATTAGAGGAGCTGGAACTTAAAAAAAAAAATGTATTTATTTACTTGAGAGGCAGAGTTAGAGAGAGAGGGAGAGACAGAGAGAGAAATCTTCCATCCACTGGTTTGCTCCCCAAATGGCCACAACGGCCAAAGCTGAGCCGAGCTGAAGCCAGGAGCCAGGAGCTTCTTCCAGGTCTCCCATGCAGGTGCAGGGGCCCAAGCACTTGGGCCATCTTCTACTGCTTTTCTAGCCATCAGCAAGGAGCTGGATCAGAAGTGGCTCAGCCAGGACTCCAACCCGTGCCTATATGGAATGCCAGCACTGCAGGAAGATGCTTAACCTACTACACCACAGCACCGGTGCTGAGGAGCTTGAACTTGAACCAGGCACTCCAATATGGGATGCAGATGTTCTAGACAGCGATTAAACTGCTGTGCCAAATACCCACCCCCGAGATTTGACTATAAATGGCTATGTACCATCTTGATATTGTGAATGTGCCACCCTTTACATACCAATTTATACATTCCATGAAATCACAATTAAAATCTCAGTGAAGATGTCTTATGAATCTTAAATTAGCTGATCCCAAAATGTACTTGGCAGAGAAAATACTGGGCCCGTGTTATGGCATAGTGAGTAAAGCAATTGCCTATGAAGCCATGGCTGCTCCATTTCTGATCTGGCTCCCTGCTAATGGCCTGGGAAGGCAGTGGAAGATGGCCCAAGTGCTTGGGCCCCTGCACCTATGTGGGAGACCCAGAAGAAGCTCCTGGCTCCTGGCTTTAGATCAGTGTAGCTCCGGCCATTGTGGTCATCTTGGAAGTGAAATCAGAGGATGGGGAGTGTCTCCATAACTCTGACTTTCAAATAAATAAATAAATCTTTAAAAAAAAAAACGTTCTGGGGGCTGGCGCTGTGGCATAGTAGGTAAAGCCACCACCTGCAGTACTGGCATCCCATATGGGCGCTGGTTCAAGTCTCAGCTGCTCCACTTCCAATCCAGCTCTCTGCTATGGCCTGGGAAAGCAGTAGAAGATGGTTCAAGTTCTTGGGCCTCTCCATTCATCTGGGAGACCCGGAAGAAGTTCCTGGCTCCTGCCTTTGGATTGGCGCAGCTCCGGCCATTGCGGCCATCTGGGGAGTGAACCAGCGGATGGAAACCCTCTCTTTCTCTGCCTCTCCTTCTCTCTGTGTGTGTAACACTAACTTTCAAATAAATAAATAAATCTTAAAAAGAAAAAAAGAAGATGACCCAAGTCCTTGGGCCCCTACACCCATGTGGGAGACCTGGAAGAAGTTCCTGGCTCCTGGATTTGGATCAGCACAGCTCCAGCCATTGCAGCCAACTGGGGAGTGAACCAGTGGATGGCAGACCTCTCTCTCTCTCTCTCTCTCTCTCTCTCTCTCTCTGCTCTCCTCTCTGTGTAACTGTGACTTTCAAATAGATAAATAAATAAATAAATCTTTTTTAAAAAAAAAGTTCTGCTCCTTCCTTAAAGAGAGAGAGAGAGAGAGAGAGAGAGATGGGGCCGGCGCTGTGGCGCAGCAGGTTAACGTCCTGGTCTGAAGCGCCGGCATCCCATATGTGTGCCGGTTCAAGTCCCAGCTGCTCCACTTCCAATCCAGCTCTCTGCTATGGCCTGGGAAAGCAGTGGAGGATGGCCCAAGTGCTGAGGCCCCTGCACCCGCGAGGGAGATCAGGAAGGGGCTCCTGGCTCCTGGCTTGGGATCGGCCCCGCCTTGGCTGTTGCTGCCATCTGGGGAGTGTACCAGTGAATGGAAGACCTCTCTCTCTGTAACTGTGTCTTTCAAACAAATAAAATAAGTCTTTTTAAAAGAGAGAGGGAGAGAGAGAATGCAAAAGAAGAGCTAAAAATTTTTGAAAAAAATAATGTGGTCATGGGAAAATAGACTAGTCGAGAAATATTAAGATAGAGTGCTACTTTACATTACATACAAGAATAAAGTCCAGACAGAATAAAGAAGTCAACAAAAAATAAAAGTATAAAAGTACCAGAAAGACACAATAAGGAATGTTCTTATAATCTTTGGGTAGAGAAGACTTTTTTTAAAGATTTATTTATTTATTTGAAAGTCAGAGTTACACAGAGAACGAGAGGCAGAGAGAGAGGGAGGGGGGTCTTCCATCTGATGGTTCACTCCCCAATTGGCCTCAATGGCTAGAGCTGCGCCGATCTGAAGCCAGGAGCCAGGAGCTTCCTCCAGGTCTCCCACGTGGGTGCAGGGGCCCAAGGACCTGGGCCATCTTCTCCTGCTTTCCCAGGCCATAGCGGAGAGCTGGAGCAGAAGAGGAGCAGCTGATCTCGAACTGGCGCCCATATGAGATGCCAGTGCTTCAGGCCAGGGCGTTAACCTGTTGTGCCACAGCGCTGGACCGAGAAGACCTTTCTAAGCAGAACTCAAACCAAAATGCTATAAAATTAAAATTTTCATCTCTATGGAGGGAAAAACCTCAAAGTTAAAAAATAAGCAACATTTGGGTCCAGCGCTGTCACCTAGTGGGTAAAAAGCCACCGCCTGCAGTGCCAACATCCCATATGGGCACTGATTCAAGTCCTGGCTGCTCCACTTCTGATCCAGCTCTCTGCTATGGCCTGGGAAAGCAGCAGCAGATCTCCCAAGTCTTGCACTCGTGTGGGGGACCTGGAGGAAGCTCCTGGTTTCTGGCTTTGGATCGGCACAGCTCTTG